TCTGGGTAGTTCTTGGGGGGGGGGGTGACCATATATATATATAGGTATATATATATATAGTAAATAATTGGGTTTCCGCAGTGGCAGTGTTCCTGCCCTGGCACCATCACTGCAAGCAAGATCAGATCCGTAAATATGCGCTACATGGCATACAAACCCTAAGGGTCCAAGGACTCAAAAAATAGGGTTTTAGGGCCCAAATACCATAATATCAAAGGTACTTGGGCCCTAAAACCCTATTATTTGGGTCCTTGGACCCTTAGGGAAATCTGCAAGAGGACCCTGACACCGCAACTGCAGCCATGTCCAGCTGCATGTCGCATGCCGTGTAGATTCTGTAGAAGGTGTGACACAAGATGAAGATGCCAAGCCTCAGGTATCTGAGCACGGCGCACTTTCCTGCTGAGAAAAAACTGCTTCAAATAGTCTTGCTGTAGGATTTCCTAGGATGCTGTAGAGTTCTCCATTTCCGCTCAACTTGCAGGTCTGCAGATGTGGAGGCTTACCCAGAAACATGACCTTAAAAGTCCAGGTACCTAAAGAATAGGATGTATTTTGGTCCCTAAACCCTAAACCCTAAACCACGGGTTCCTGTACAGGTGTTCTGGCTTCTATTTGGGTACTTAGACCCCTAAACCCTAAACCCTTGAGGTGGCGCCGAAGACAAAAGCCATCGGCTCACCAAAAGAAGTTCAAGCAAGGTGCGTCTTGTGGATGTTGTAATTGTCCTGCAACAGTTTAGGGTTTAGGGGTCTGGCATGTATTGAAGAAGCAAAGACATGAGAATAGGCCTTGGATGTTAATCTTTATTTGTTACAGTCGTCCTATGGCCCTTGACTTTGCTCTTTCTTTACGCCTTTTTGAAAGTATCCGCGGCTCAGCATCTTCTCGCACCACATGTGTTCAATTCATCTACCGGTCCACTGACATGTAGGATCCCGCTTTCAAAAGCCTACACAGATAAAGCCAAAGCCCATGTTTTCTAGGCATCCTGAATCTGAAATCAGGAAAGCAATTGCTGTTCGTCCTCCTTTGTGAAGAGTCGACCAAGCAACGACACGCCTTGACCTGCAGGCTAAGTTTTGCATGTAAGCCTGACATATGTCCGGACGCATGTTTGATGTATGATAGTCAACCCTGTTTAGTGTGCAGAACACAGTATACGTATGTATGCTGTAGTATCCACACGGAAACGGCGAACATACATCCCACTTTAATTCCGTGATATTGCGCATGTAGGATATCCACCCCAAAACCCAGTTTGAATCATTTCAGCCTCTACATTGACCCACTGACCTCTAAACCAATCCAATTTTGTAGGTTACCGAACTGTTTGGATAGAAAATACTAAGCATAAAGTTAGGTAGTCTAAAAGGGGAAGGGTACAGGGGTCTAGGACATTGAGCCCCAAACCCTGACATATCAACCCCTAATGGTGAAGCTCCCCACCTCCTAAGAATCATCATGATCAAAATGACACTATAGACCCCATTTTCTAATTCCATTACATACCATCGGGGAATATTCATTATTAGGGTTTAGGGTTCAGGGATAAACCCTACACCCTAAACCCTAATTCCTGAACCCCAAACCCCCAAAACCTAAATCCTAAACCCCAAGCCCTAAACCCTAAATCCTAAACCCTAAGCCCTAAACCCTAAACCCCAAGCCCTAAACCCTAAATCCCCGAATGCGTCGAGTCGTGGTGGTGGGAGCCGCCTGCGCGAGGCGCCTCTCTGCCATCCACCAGGAGGCCAATGGCTTTCTCATGAACCATCTTGCCTTCTTTGTGGATTTACTGGGTTTAGGGTTTAGGATTTAGGGTTTAGGGTTTAGGGTTGAGGGTTTAGGATTTAGGGTTTAGGGTTTAGGATTTAGGGTTTAGGATTTAGGGTATATATATATATATCCACGGTGTAGGGTCTATAGGGATTTAGGGTTTAGGGTTTGGGATCTAATGGGGATATATAGAGTTTTCCAAATAGGGGGACTTCAATGTAGACCCGCAAGCACGATAATCCTTATTATTGGGATTCCCAGAAGGTACCCCTAATTTTGGGAAAGTCCCCATATTCATGGTGTAGGGTGTAGCCACGGTAGAAAATGGCCAGATAATTAATGGATATGGGTTCCTTGTTCAGGACTATACTGGGCAACCAAACCCTAAACCCTAAACCCTAAACCCTAACCCCTAAGTGTTAAGGGCTCCTTAAGAAGCCTAAAGTGACAATAGCTCATATACATGGAAGCTTCCCTAAATTACTGTTCCCAAAATGGGGGAAACTTATATAGGGCCCCGTATTATAATAGGAACCTAAATATAGGACCCCGTATTGACAGTACTTTAGGACAATCCCCACATGGTGTAGGGTTTATAAGGATTTAGGGCTTAGGGCTTATAGGGCAACTCTTCTGGTGTCCCCATCATAAGAGTTATAGTCATAATGTATTGGGGTCTATGGTCTACGAACCATTTCGCCTTGGGGATTAATGGGGATAAATTGGGAAAGGCAAATGAAAGTACTATTTGGGGCTTAATAGGGGTTTGGAGCTCAAGTGTTTGGGGGCGCAGAATGCTAAGAACCATCTTGGCTGTTCAGGGGTCAGGGTTTAGGTTTAGGGTATCCGGTTCAGGGTTTGGCATCTAGACAATAAATCTACGACAGTTGAGCTGAGAGAATTCAAAGACATTCTGGCAATTTGTGCTTGAGGATTGTGCTGACGCTTCGGCTCAATTTGGAAGCTCTTAGATTCCAGATTTTTGCCGCACTAAGTGACTTATGGATTGGGCAGGTTTGAGGGGGTCTACAGGTCTGAGCGTGGTGCATTGCAAGCTTTTTTACACTTGGCCTTGTAGGTTGTATTTACGTGCTATTCTTATCATAAACCATCTTGCGTGGTGGTCATTCTTGACAAGCTACGATTATGATCAAGTTTCGCATCACGGTTTCAAGTGCGGCCTTGCGAGTGTGACCGGATGTGTCTTGCCACTACTACACATCTCTTTTGCACCTTAGCATTGCCGTGCCCTTGAGTCCCGTCAATGTGAGAGCTCCACTAGGACACACCACTAAAAACAACACCAAGTCCAGCATGGGGTTGCCACCTTCTGCAAGCAACAGGCATGATTGAATCCAAGTGACGGGCAAAATCAGAGTGCCCAACTTCCTCGAACGCTTCGTAGGCTTCAGTCCCACCATGCTGGAGCAGGATGTCGTTTCCGCCTGATGCTTGCTGTACACAGTGTTGGGCTTATATAAGGGTTCTATACAATTATAGGGTATATATGGGGGGTAGTATAGAGATGGTGAAAAACAAAATGGAGACTACTATAATTGGATTATATAGGGTTCAGGGTTCAGTAGGAGCACAGGTCATTGTCTTGGTCACAGGTCACAGGCCTGGATGCAGCATGAGGAACTCGGTGACGTCGCAAACCTTTGCTTCTGGGCTCGCTTATCGCTTGCTTGCTGGACAGCGGCGGCATGAAGGTCCGCTCTGTCTTTGTGTCATCGGATGATGCCACATCCTCACACCGACCCTGAGGCATCCAAGACACGATGCCGCCAATCGAGATCCACAGGGAGGACGTCGTGTTATGTTCACTCAGCTCTGCCTGTGTGATCTTCATGCTGGTCTGCACTCTCGACCTTGGGAGTTCAGCCTGACCCGACTATATGGGGCTCCTCTTGTGGGGCCCTTTATGGTGGACATCACATCACTTCTAGGCAGCAGATGAAAGGACACTGGTATTGAGACATGCGCGCATCCTTCTGCCAGATTAGAAGAGACAAGCCACTCGAAAGGGCTGCTGCCCTTCTTGCGGCGGACTTCGATCATCACCTACACGGTTTAGGGTTTAGGGTTTAGGATGGTAGTTTCCTAAAATAGGGGACCCCAATATAGACCCCAAAATACTATAGTCCTCATTATGGGGACCCCCATAATGGTACCCCTAATTTTGGGAAGCCCCTACATTGTCAGGGACAGCTAATGCGCAGATCCATCAGGAATCTTGGGGTCTGCTTCCTCTGCAAAAGGAGGGAATGGGGCATCGTTTGGGATCCTCAGTCGGGCTTGGAAAGAACCAATTACCTAGCTCAGAGCCCACTCGCCTAAACCATGGGCTCAGGTCAGAGTAGGGGACATGAGAATCAAGTACTACAGCGGTAAGACCCCAGCGATCATCAGAGGAAGGATCGTGATGACCACGAATCCAACGATAGTGATCCGCTGCCTGTCGCGAGCGGAGAACACCCCACGCCACAGATAATCGCCACTGCTCATGCTCCAATGCAATCCAGTCAACGGAAGTTTCATGTAGTATGAAGCAGTGCTCAAATGGATGATGTTTCCACAGTCAACCATGAAAGAATATATTCTCGTCCACAAGTAGAGAGGTCATTGCAACGTTGATAGGAATACTGATAGTCAGCGTGGTGCATTATAGTCCACAAACAACAATGAATCAGCATGGCCTCTGAGTCGCAGTATGCCGCAGTAATGGTAATAAGAGCAGTCGGATTTTTTGCGCTGTCGATACAATGGTTCAGAATGACCCTGACTGCAGTACTTTGTGAAGTACGGTGTTCTAGCACACGACAGCCATGCAGGGTTCTATCACAACTACACAGTAGAAGTGGCTACTTGCATCGACGCTGCTGGCCTCTTGACAATCTCGGCTCTGTAGGGAGGTCCCTTGACGGGATCTGCGAGGGTCTCGCTCCTGCGCAAGCATGTTGGCTATTGTAGCTAACGGCCAAACAAACCGTGTGAAACAGGTTTGGGTTGCAGATGCTCTGGGAAGCCACATAGGATTCGCAATCGCATTATTTGTTTTGCGTGTATTCCTGCTCTTGTTCTGACTATTTTTTGTCGTAGTGGTCGTCATCGTCATATCAGCAGCAGCTGCAGTAGCAGTAGTAGTAGCAGTAGTAGTAGCAGTAGTAGCAGCAGTAGTGGCAGCAGAAGAAACATCCTTAAAAAAAGAAGACGAGATCAGACAAATCCTGGTGGTTCTGGAGGGAGCGCTCCGAATAGCATGCATGGTGCCACGGGGACATATGCTCAAGCAACAAGTTCCTGTTCGCATGGTGCCTTGCGCCACGAGCCTTGGCTTTAAAAGCCCAGTCACTGAAGGTTCATGCTTTTAGTCCATGGTCAGAGACCGTAAGCCCTAAGTCCTCAATCCCTAGCCACATCTGGCATGCACCACTCCTTCAAGGCTCAGCCCATCAGGACAAGGTTTGCTGCTAGGACAATTCTTGGCAATGTCGTGGATCCTCAAAAGCTTGCTGAAGTGCCTGCTTGAACGAATCGTTTTGCCATTCGGCTTGGCTTCGAGTCTCTGACGTGGTTCGAGAATTTTGGTGCTCGTTGCGCACGCTCTCTGACAGCAGCTGCTGCCTTGTGATCCTCGATTTGGTTTGTCAGCGTCTGTGTGACATGGTGATCGTCATTGTCATCATCGTGGTCGCTGGTGTCGACGTTGCCATCTTCCTCTCCGTTGCGAAGCAGTCGTAGCCTTCGTAGTAGCAGTGGCCGCCACTGGTAGTCAGAGTCGTTGCAGTAGCAGTACGTCCTAGCAGTCTTAGCAGCAGTAGCCGTAGCAGTCGTAGTTGTAACCGCAACAATAGCAGCAATAGCAGCAGCAGCAGCAGCGGCGGCGGCGGCGGCGGCAGCAGCAGCAGCAGCAGCACCAGCAGCAGCACCAGCAGCAGCAGCAGCACCAGCAAAGGACTAGCAGTACTACTCGTATACTTACTATGTCTACTCCAAATTGTAGTAGCCGTGCTGCTGTCAATCACTGCTGTAAGTGGCGGGACATGCTGAAGTAGATTTTCGGTGGAGCTGCAGCCCAAACACCAAACTACGACAGAGATCATCCGCAGCCCCATGAAGCCACTGCTTTCCAGAGGATCCCTCTCTAAGAAATGCAAAAACGGGTGTCATGAATTTTCCTGAATTCCTGTGGTCCCTCTGCGCGCAGGGAATCACCAGTTTCGCGTTTGATTACCTTCTGGGGGCCAAATTTTCGGAAGCTGGAAAACCTGCGTCCACTGCTGTATAGCCGCCCCGTTTGGTAGGACATGTTTTCACAAACTGGTAGAATTTCTACAAGTTTCTCATCTGCAGCGTTGTTGGTTCAAGAATGGCGCAGGCTAATGGTGCCAGCGCAGGGACTAACACAATTACTCCCTCTGCTCCATCCAACAGGAACCAAACAGTGTGGTTTCCGTGTTTGAGGGCGGGGCCAAGACGTTTGCGAGGTCAAAGGACACCCCACATCAGTGTGCATAAGCTGAGTTCATGTGATGACTGATCTAGACCCACCAGGCACGCTGCCATTATCTCCAATCTAGTGATTCATCTAGGCCCTATAAGGCTTCAGACTATTGTAGCCCTCCCGAAAGAGGGATGCAAAACTTCTCTTGGAAGATTTGTGATAAATGGAGCCCCCTTGCACAAACTGTATAAAGCTGTAGGACCATCGATGTAAAGAAAAAACACACAGACCGGGACCGGGAACCACAGTTTGAGACTTCCCAGATTTTCAGAAACGGGCCCCGGATATGCCTCCCAAAATCACCCTCATGTTAAAGACATCGCAACAACGCAGCCAAAACTTCTGGAGACGTCGATATGGTAGCTGCTATGCATAGGGAATCCTCATTCTAGACCCGAGGGATTACTATAGAAGCTAAACCATAAGCCCTAAACCCGAAACCCTGGTTTTTGGAAACCTGCATCTGGACCCCATTCACACAACACATGAAGCGCCCTGTAGCCCAAACCCCAAACCTATACCACACCCTGATATAGAGGCCTGAAGATCTAGAGCAGGATTATTGAGAAATTGCACTAGAGTCATTTATACAGATACTAAAAAACATCTTGGTGGTTATTCAGGCATCTACAGTAAACAGAGCCTAAGCCAGAAATTTGGTAGTTTCCAAAAAAGGGGGAGGGTCGTCCTGAGCATTCGGAAGAATTCATCTTGCGACATCTGGCACAGACACGGACAATAGGGATTCTGTCATTTTGAGGCCTACGGTTTCGGGTTGTAGGGTCTACGGATATTGCTCTAACCATAAAGAACCTGCAGGGAAAGAAACTGGAACATGCCATGGAAACTGGGGTTACATGAGCTACAGTCAATATTGCCCAGATAATTCATGGACATGGATTCTTACTAGGGACTATATTCGGGACTATACTCAACTACAAGAAGGACCCCTATGTCCACCATTAAGGGTCCCTTCTTAAGGCTAATATGGGGGTTTCCCAAAATTAGGGGTACCTTTTTGGGGGTCCCTATAATAAGGACTATAGTATTTTGGGGTCTACATTGGGGTCCCCTTATTCTGGGAAACTACCATATTGACAGTAGCTCATATGGCGGTTAAAGGTTTGGGGTCTTATCAGGCTTGAGGTTTGCGCATGCGAAAAAAATTCCCCAAGCCAGAGGGTCCTTTGGGACCCTAGGGATACATGAGGATTAGGGTTTAGGGCTTAGGGTGGGGATATCTATTGAAATTGAATGTTTTGGTGGCTGCAGCAATTAAGATTGTGTCCTCCTGTCCAACCTGCAGCCAAAAGAGGAGCAGAATCTTGCTCGATATTGGTGGCTATAATGTAAAAAGGTAGTCCACAACACTTTAGGTGTGTACCCTCAAGGTTTGTACCTTGTGGGTTTGGGCACCAAATACAGGCTTTCATGGCTTTTCTCCACGGCATCTCGACCCAAACCCAAGGGTGCAAACCCTGAGGGTATAAAGGACAAGTTGCTGACAATAGGGGTTCCGGACAAGAAGCTGTCCAGCTATACTCCTCGCAATGTCCCACAGCCACCCCATAATAATGCCATAAGGATATCCTTTTCCTTTAATGGGGAGACATGAGAAGGAGAAAAGGGTACTACTGGGGTGCCTGCTTGACTTCGACGGAAGTGTTCCAGCTTTGACTTGGACACCAAGAATGCTATGGAAGATTCTGCATGCCATGTACCTCCCTAGGTTCTTGTGGAGGTATGAGGGGGCGGGGAGGTTAAGGGTTTCTCAATATAGGCAGCCCCCAATGACCCCAGGGGGAGCACGCAGGTTGCTCTTGAGGATCATGTGGCGAAACTTTTGACAAATCCTAAACCCTAAACAATCCTTTGACAAACCCTAAACCCCAAAACCGTCGCCAATGCAGGGCTGGGGATTCCTCTCAACCCTTCGGACGGCCCGGGTTCCCAGGGCAATTCAAACCGCATATTGCCCGACTCTATAACATGTGAAGGACTGGGCCCTTTTGCTTCCTTATTCGGGGTTAGGTGGGAATAAGGAAAAAAGTTCTATTGGGATTAGATGGGATTATATCTTCCCTTATTCTCTACTTGCCACCCAAAAGCTTACTGCAACAACTCCGATTTGGGGGCCTGTTGTAGGGCGGAAGCTAGATCCAATGCAGTCACTCGGTTGTCTTTCAAACACCCCACATAGGGTTAAGGGTTTCGGGATGTCTCCAAGTAGGCATCTACTTCGGGATCCTCAACCGGTCTTGCGAGAAACTTTCAGCGAATCCTCGGCTAAAGCTAATGAATCGGATCCTGTAGTACCCCAAGCCTATAACCACCACCCCCCCTTC